TTGTTGCAGGGCGTATTCCTCCTTGATGACGGAAAATTCATCGGAAGATTTAAAAATATCCCGGACGGCAGATAGATCCACATTCACTTCAGAAGGACCGTCCGAGATACGGGAGACCGTCTCTTCAAACTTGATCTGAGCAGCCTCAGCCGCAGAAACCTTGGCTTGGGAAGCGATAAGCTGAACCCGAAGTGTACACAGCTCATTCTCCAGCCTCTGCTTCTCTTCTGCAAACGCCTTCCGTTCAACCTCAGAGGTAGCAAGGGCAGCAACAACAACCTGTTGGCAAAAGTTTGAGCGACGATCAGCTCTCGTTCCTTGGCAAGGTGCGCCTCCCACAGTTGCAGGCTATACAACCCCATCTACAAAAGTTCGAAAAAGAAGAATGAGATAGGTACCATTAGGCAATGTGAGGAACAGATAGAAGGAGGGGAAGTAAGGTACCTTCAGGGCTGTTAGAGCAACACATTCCTCTGCCCGATCGACGGGAAGATTGGGGAGCGGGAAATTGTTGAAGTAAGCGGAGGTAGACCAGACCTAGCTCGCGAAGAGCCAGCCTTTTCCAGGATCTCGTGAACCGGATCCTTCAGATAGATCCATTCAATCTGTCCCGCAACGTTGGCATCATTGGCTTGACTGCCCCCCATGCTCACCTCCTGAGCAGCCTGGTACTGTTCAGAGAAATGATGCAGCGGTTCTGGCCCGAACGGGTTATCTATCAGCATGTCCTCGTGAAGGGCCTATTCAAGAGAAACTTGCTGAATAGGATGAACCTCGTGGGCAGGCTGAGGTTGCCCGGTATTCTGAGGAGCAGTGGTAGAAGATTGGGGATGGTTATTCTTCTTAGCCTTCTTCCTCTTACCCACTCCACCGACAGCAAGCACACGACTATTATCCATGGGAGCGTCTGGATTGGGAGCTGAAAAAATAACAAAGGCAAAAGTTAGTACCGATCGATCTTGCCACGTGGGAAACTAAAAGGGGACATTTCTCGCACGAGAAGGACCGCCCGACCCATGGCACTTGGTTTTCAGTCAAGTAAACCCAGGAGTACGGGAAGTACCTATCCCGACTTGGACAAGCCGATCAGGAGTCAGGTACTCCATGATGTTGTAGGATTTGTCCTTTTCTAACGCAAAACATCCTTGCAAATCTCCTCGGTAAGGAGCGGATCGGGAGATTTACGAGGGAAGGCATTCCACCTGTTCGGGATCAAACCGTCCGAGATGGAAACAAAGAAAAAACCGGTCTTTCCACCCCTTGATAGAAGTTAGATTTCCCTTGAACAATATGTGTCTCGTTCGGGCACTTGCGGCCAAGTACCGATATGTTTGTTGGGGAGCCACTTTGAAAAATTGATGGAACAGATCCAAGCTTGGCGTGACCTTGGCGTCCACACAACGGCATATGAAGCCGACCATCACCCGATAGGAATTCAGCATGATTTGGGCCGGTACAACTGTGAAACAAATTTTAAGTATTTACTTAAAATTGATCGCAAATAATAATATATGAAAATATTGGGTACAATCTCTAAATATGAATCCTCTGATTCTTCATTTGCAATTTGAAATAAATATAATTAAAGAATTTAATTAAAAATTAATTGTTTAATCTTTCAAACATTCGAACGTTCTTCAGATCTTCAAATCTTCGTTCTTGAGATCTTCGAATCTTCGAATCTTCATTCGTTGGGTCTTCAAATCTTCTTGAATGAAAAATTCAATTTGAAGGGCCTCCGGTTTTCAGGTGGCTTGATCTTCAACAAAAAGGCCATTTTATGGCCTGATCTTTTGTTTAAGGGCCTCCCGGGATATATGACTTGATCTTCAAATCTTCAAAGATTCGTTCTTCATATCTTCGAATCTTCAAAGTCTTGTTCTTCAGATCTTCGAATCTTCAAGCTTCGTTCTTCAGATCTTCGAACGCTCTTCAACTTTTGGATTTATTTTATTAAGAATTGACGAAATCACAAAGGATTATTTGTATATTCTTAACAGAATTCGTGACTTGATCTATTCCTCTTCTTCGGAATCGTTTAGAGCATTTCGAGAGTTCTTGAGAGCTTTTCTACAACGTTTCTTCGTCTGAAAATTCTCTCCCTTCCTGTCAACTGAGACCTCTATTTATAGGTGTGGAGGGAGTGAAAATATGCTTTAGGATTTGGAAATTCGTCCATACCCCTTGGGCCCTGATTCAAATGGACTTTAGGCTCTATTTGCTCGCATTTTAATAGCTAGAAAAATCAGCACTTGTTCGATGTATCTGGATAGCTTTTTTAACAAGGTTCGGAGCTATTTTCCATGCACACGGATGAATTTCTTAGCCAGATTCATTGTCATTTTCATAAGTTGGATCATGGCTTTTATATATTGAGCCAATATTTGATAATGGGTTCAGAAATTAATAGGACCGTTCATTCTTTTAAAGATTTAATTTCTAATTAAATTAATTGGATATCTTAAATGACCCAAATAATTTAATCATAAAATTTTATCTGAACAGATTCGTATTTTCTTTTTGAACGGTCCAATAGAATCCGACGTTGGTCTAATATCATTCAGAAGAGGCCCATGATAATCATAATTCATAACCAGCCTAAGAATTTTTACATGTTCACAAAGGCCCCCTCAGATTTGCTTGGATGTACCAATTTTACTGCACCAAAGCGAGTCTCGAAAATTGATGATATTGATCCATCAATATTAACCCAACTTTCAGCAAATCTCCGCTTGTAATGGGCTCAATTGATCACTTATGGAGTCTCCAAGTGTGATTGCGAGTCCAAAATTTGGTAGAAGATTGGGGATGGTTATTCTTCTTAGCCTTCTTCCTCTTACCCACTCCACCGACAGCAAGCACACGACTATTATCCATGGGAGCGTCTGGATTGGGAGCTGAAAAAATAACAAAGGCAAAAGTTAGTACCGAGCGATCTTGCCACGTGGGAAACTAAAAGGGGACGTTTCTCGCACGAGAAGGACCGCCCGACCCATGGCACTTGGTTTTCAGTCAAGTAAACCCATGAGTACGGGCAGTACCTATCCCGACTTGGACAAGCCGATCAGGAGTCAGGTACTCCATGATGTTGTAGGATTTGTCCTTTTGTAACGCAAAACATCCTTGCAAATCTCCTCGGTAAGGAGCGGATCGGGAGATTTACGAGGGAAGGCATTCCACCTGTTCGGGATCAAACCGTCCGAGATGGAAACAAAGAAAAAACCGGTCTTTCCACCCCTTGATAGAAGTTAGATTTCCCTTAAACAATATGTGTCTCGTTCGGGCACTTGCGGCCAAGTACCGATATGTTTGTTGGGGAGCCACTTTGAAAAATTGATGGAACAGATCCAAGCTTGGCGTGACCTTGGCGTCCACACAACGGCATATGAAGCCGACCATCACCCGATAGGAATTCAGCATGATTTGGGCCGGTACAACTGTGAAACAAATTTTAAGTATTTACTTAAAATTGATCGCAAATAATAATATATGAAAATATTGGGTACAATCTCTAAATATGAATCCTCTGATTCTTCATTTGCAATTTGAAATAAATATAATTAAAGAATTTAATTAAAAATTAATTGTTTAATCTTTCAAACATTCGAACGTTCTTCAGATCTTCAAATCTTCGTTCTTGAGATCTTCGAATCTTCGAATCTTCATTCGTTGGGTCTTCAAATCTTCTTGAATGAAAAATTCAACTTGAAGGGCCTCCGGTTTTCAAGTGGCTTGATCTTCAACAAAAAGGCCATTTTATGGCCTGATCTTTTGTTTAAGGGCCTCCCGGGATATATGACTTGATCTTCAAATCTTCAAAGATTCGTTCTTCATATCTTCGAATCTTCAAAGTCTTGTTCTTCAGATCTTCGAATCTTCAAGCTTCGTTCTTCAGATCTTCGAACGCTCTTCAACTTTTGGATTTATTTTATTAAGAATTGACGAAATCACAAAGGATTATTTGTATATTCTTAACAGAATTCGTGACTTGATCTATTCCTCTTCTTCGGAATCGTTTAGAGCATTTCGAGAGTTCTTGAGAGCTTTTCTGCAACGTTTCTTCGTCTGAAAATTCTCTCCCTTCCTGTCAACTGAGACCTCTATTTATAGGTGTGGAGGGAGTGAAAATATGCTTTAGGATTTGGAAATTCGTCCATACCCCTTGGGCCCTGATTCAAATGGACTTTAGGCTCTATTTGCTCGCATTTTAATAGCTAGAAAAATCAGCACTTGTTCGATGTATCTGGATAGCTTTTTTAACAAGGTTCGGAGCTATTTTCCATGCACACGGATGAATTTCTTAGCCAGATTCATTGTCATTTTCATAAGTTGGATCATGGCTCTTATATATTGAGCCAATATTTGATAATGGGTTCAGAAATTAATAGGACCGTTCATTCTTTTAAAGATTTAATTTCTAATTAAATTAATTGGATATCTTAAATGACCCAAATAATTTAATCATAAAATTTTATCTGAACAGATTCGTATTTTCTTTTTGAACGGTCCAATAGAATCCGACGTTGGTCTAATATCATTCAGAAGAGGCCCATGATAATCATAATTCATAACCAGCCTAAGAATTTTTACATGTTCACAAAGGCCCCCTCAGATTTGCTTGGATGTACCAATTTTACTGCACCAAAGCGAGTCTCGAAAATTGATGATATTGATCCATCAATATTAACCCAACTTTCAGCAAATCTCCGCTTGTAATGGGCTCAATTGATCACTTATGGAGTCTCCAAGTGTGATTGCGAGTCCAAAATTTGGTAGAAGATTGGGGATGGTTATTCTTCTTAGCCTTCTTCCTCTTACCCACTCCACCGACAGCAAGCACACGACTATTATCCATGGGAGCGTCTGGATTGGGAGCTGAAAAAATAACAAAGGCAAAAGTTAGTACCGAGCGATCTTGCCACGTGGGAAACTAAAAGGGGACGTTTCTCGCACGAGAAGGACCGCCCGACCCATGGCACTTGGTTTTCAGTCAAGTAAACCCATGAGTACGGGCAGTACCTATCACGACTTGGACAAGCCGATCAGGAGTCAGGTACTCCATGATGTTGTAGGATTTGTCCTTTTGTAACGCAAAACATCCTTGCAAATCTCCTCGGTAAGGAGCGGATCGGGAGATTTACGAGGGAAGGCATTCCACCTGTTCGGGATCAAACCGTCCGAGATGGAAACAAAGAAAAAACCGGTCTTTCCACCCCTTGATAGAAGTTAGATTTCCCTTGAACAATATGTGTCTCGTTCGGGCACTTGCGGCCAAGTACCGATATGTTTGTTGGGGAGCCACTTTGAAAAATTGATGGAACAGATCCAAGCTTGGCGTGACCTTGGCGTCCACACAACGGCATATGAAGCCGACCATCACCCGATAGGAATTCAGCATGATTTGGGCCGGTACAACTGTGAAACAAATTTTAAGTATTTACTTAAAATTGATCGCAAATAATAATATATGAAAATATTGGGTACAATCTCTAAATATGAATCCTCTGATTCTTCATTTGCAATTTGAAATAAATATAATTAAAGAATTTAATTAAAAATTAATTGTTTAATCTTTCAAACATTCGAACGTTCTTCAGATCTTCAAATCTTCGTTCTTGAGATCTTCGAATCTTCGAATCTTCATTCGTTGGGTCTTCAAATCTTCTTGAATGAAAAATTCAACTTGAAGGGCCTCCGGTTTTCAAGTGGCTTGATCTTCAACAAAAAGGCCATTTTATGGCCTGGTCTTTTGTTTAAGGGCCTCCCGGGATATATGACTTGATCTTCAAATCTTCAAAGATTCGTTCTTCATATCTTCAAATCTTCAAAGTCTTGTTCTTCAGATCTTCGAATCTTCAAGCTTCGTTCTTCAGATCTTCGAACGCTCTTCAACTTTTGGATTTATTTTATTAAGAATTGACGAAATCACAAAGGATTATTTGTATATTCTTAACAAAATTCGTGACTTGATCTATTCCTCTTCTTCGGAATCGTTTAGAGCATTTCGAGAGTTCTTGAGAGCTTTTCTGCAACGTTTCTTCGTCTGAAAATTCTCTCTCCCTTCCTGTCAACTGAGACCTCTATTTATAGGTTGAGGGAGTGAAAATATGCTTTAGGATTTGGAAATTCGTCCATACCCCTTGGGCCCTGATTCAAATGGACTTTAGGCTCTATTTGCTCGCATTTTAATAGCTAGAAAAATCAGCACTTGTTCGATGTATCTGGATAGCTTTTTTAACAAGGTTCGGAGCTATTTTCCATGCACACAGATGAATTTCTTAGCCAGATTCATTGTCATTTTCATAAGTTGGATCATGGCTCTTATATATTGAGCCAATATTTGATAATGGGCTCAGAAATTAATAGGACTGTTCATTCTTTTAAAGATTTAATTTCTAATTAAATTAATTGGATATCTTAAATGACCCAAATAATTTAATCATAAAATTTTATCTCAACAGATTCGTATTTTCTTTTTGAACGGTCCAATAGAATCCGACGTTGGTCTAATATCATTCAGAAGAGGCCCATGATAATCATAATTCATAACCAGCCTAAGAATTTTTACATGTTCACAAAGGCCCCCTCAGATTTGCTTGGATGTACCAATTTTACTGCACCAAAGCGAGTCTCGAAAATTGATGATATTGATCCATCAATATTAACCCAACTTTCAGCAAATCTCCGCTTGTAATGGGCTCAATTGATCACTTATGGAGTCTCCAAGTGTGATTGCGAGTCCAAATCAGTGGCGGACCTCATGCTGTTCAAGGGTGTTCATGTGAACACCCAAGGCATTTCAATTTTTTTATAAAAAAAATTAGATATCTACCAGCGTTTTGATGAAAATTAGATTTCGGTCAAGACTTGAAGCCACTCCTCTCCACCTATGGCTTCTGTAATCCTCAAATCCTCGATCGTCTTGAATCCTGTCCTCCACCTCGCGTTTCACGAGTTCCAGTCGCCGTCGTTCTGTGCCTTTGTTGCCGGCTCGCCCTCTCAGACGCAGTGTTCCGGAGTCCAAACTTGCGGCCGGCACTATGTTCTCCACTCTGTACTTCTGTAGTTGTCGGCCACACTACATATGTACGTCGTCTCTCATCTATCTTTGTTTATTAAGAGCTGAATTGATTTATAGGTTCGTGATTTGGGTCATATTGGGGTATATACAATCTACTGTGAGTTTTTCCCAATTTGATATTTTGGAAGAAAGTAGGACATTCTTTACTTGGTATAAAAACTAATGGGAGTAAAGCTTTTTTAATACGGAGTACTACGTATTTATCTATTTTTATCATTGATCCGATTTGTGAGTGGGGTTCTTAATCTTAACTGATATTTCATATTTTGATATTTGGCGATTGCCAGTTGGATTTATTGTTTCACTTGTATTTATAATGGGTTGATGATTCAGTTGCATGGTTTGTATTGGATAAATTTTTGTTATTAGGAAATATTTGTTGAGGAAAATCATTAGTAATTTATGAAATTAAATTAGTAATGAGTATGAGAACAATTTACATACACTGTTTTGGAAAACCTATATTAAAGGAGATTAGGATTGAAACAAATTGTTGAACTATTACATTACACAAAATTATTGTGATCATTTCTATTTTTTATTTGGTTTTGAACACCCAAAAGATAAAGGCTGGATCCGCCACCGGTCCAAATATATGTATCAGCATTACTCCAAATACTCCGTACTAGAATATACTCCGAGTGTTCAATCAGGAATCAAACTTTATTCCAAATCTTTTCATGCACGTCTCTTTAACCTCCAAATCACAATGGAACTCTAATGCTCTCAACTCCTATAAATTAAACCCACTAGGAACATGCTTTTTGCATTTACGTAAATATCAGCTTCGATCACCAAGAGTTTTTCCAAACCTCTCAGAAGGAGATAACAACATGTATGCCTTCCTTCATATCATCCTTCTCTATTTTTTTTTTGTTTTATTCTGCTGCAGGGAGGTCGAGTGATTTTTTTTAAGATATCCATTTTCAAGCAAGTCAACAAGTGAATAAGGCATCAAAGCATCAAACTCAATCAGAACTTTAGAAGAATTGTTTTATTCAAGGCGATCTGGACGGGCTGCTACTCAAACTTAGCAAAAGAGTATGGCAACAACCGCAGTCAAAACCACAAATCTGAAAGTTTTTCAAATATTATAGAGAGCCTACTGGAGTAGCCGAGTAGCAACCAGTGGAAGACTAGGCCAGAGTGGCAAAATTGTTCATGGATTTCTTTGCTGCCGATGTCGTTATTACCGCTGCCGGTTGGTATTTGAGAGATTAATCTGCCGGAATCGTTGCTTCTGGTCGTTCGCTGGAGAAAGAAATTGATGTTCAAAGCTTTGGGGGTTCATCTCTGTCGTTGCTGTGAAAAGCCAGAGGTTGCAGATAGCGTTCAAAATCCCAGATGCAGAAGAAGCTTGATGGTTATGACGTTGAGGCTGATTTTTGTTGCCACCGCTGTTTGTTGGATCGAGATGATGCCACTAGTGTTATTTCCGTTTCAAATTGATACTGGAATCCGAAATGGTCCATCCAAGAGCTGATTTTGTTGTTGGCGCTGTCACTGTCGAAGAAAGGAGACCATGTTGGGTTGCTGGTGTCGCTCGCCAAAATTTGTTGGATATGAGGACCCATTGGAGTATCTAGTGCCACGAGGATACGGAAGACCGGCTACTTTGCCGGTGTGAAGACCAGCCATTTCGTCGGTTTGAAGACCCGCTATTTTGTGGGTGTGATGACCGGCCACTTCGTCGATGTGAAGACCCGCTATTTTGTGGGTGTGAAGACCGACCACTTCGTCGGTTTGAAGACTGGCTATTTTGTCGGTGTGAAGACCGGCCACTTCGTCGGTGTGAAGCCTCGCTATTTTGTGGGTATGAAGACCGGCCACTTCGTCGGTGTGAAGACCCGCTATTTCGTGGGTGTGAAGACCGGCCACTTCGTCGGTTTGAAGACCCGCTTTTTTGTGAGTGGAAAATTTCTCAGATCCGTTGCCATCATTGAGGGAATCCAAAATTTGACGAGCTGGCTAATTGATATCTCTGTGGGTTGTTCTCTGTCTCGATTTCTTTTAGGAGAGAAGAAAACATATCGTCCCATTATGCATAAGATGAAGGAGTCATCCTAAGCTTAAGAGAGGGTACTGTTTCTGCGTGTGTATTGCGAAGGAGACCAAGACCATTTTTTTTGTCGTAGCAAGCCGGCGACGAGAGACTGGGAAATAATTGCCCGTTTTTTATGTTGGTTTAGGAGAAATCAAGGATATTGACTTAATTTGTCCTCTGTCATGCTTATTTGAGAGCACACCAACTCTTCCTCCGTATTTGTTTATTTATTAATTTTGAAATATTGGTGTGAGCCTTTATTTATAAATTTTGGATCAATCCCAAGGCTTTAGGATGCTTGAGAGTAGCTTAAAGACCTGATTCGAGAGTCAATAAATTCCTCATTTTTTTATTTGCCCCTTTCTAACTTTATTTTTGCATTTTTTTGCAGTACAAAATGGTGTTCCTCAAAGATATAAAGCATGAAGGTCAACGATTTCTCTCTATTTCAACGGGCAATACTAATGGTAACGAGATCCATTTGGAGATTTGCAAACCCTTTGCTCGTGGTTTCTGTCCTGCGACTGTTGTGTCATATCGTATTACTGACTGGACTCCCGAGTGCGAGTATCAAGATCAAACTCCGCAGACTCTAATATCTGTTTAACATATTAGAGTCTTTCTCACCGAAAATCTATTTTTTGGTGGTGAATTTAGATTTATCACCGGTTACTGGGAGTGGGCGGAAGATGTTTTGGGCATGAGTAAAAATGTTCTAACGAAAGGGCTTATTTATGATGTTGTTTATGCCTCATTGTTTACGTATGATCGGTGTACGAATGTTATGCAAGCCTTTTGTGAAGCGTGGTGCCCTACGGTGAATACATTACTTACGTCAATTGGTGAATTGACGATCACGCTTTGGGACTTGCACGTTATTGGGGGATTACCAATAATAGGAGATGCATACGACGAATCTATTCCGAGCGCCTCTGAGATGTTGAAGGGGAATGCCGACCGCCCTTTTCAGCTTTGCAATACTTATTTGGCGCATACCATCATCTTTTTCCAAAGACGGGAGACAAGCGTTTGTTACGTGTTCATGTATGGGTCAAATTCTGGTTTAAGAAAGCCTCAAAGTACACTATGCCTCCATCGAGAACAGAGAAGAAAAGAACATCTCGTGCTAAAGCAACACATAACCCAAGCGGAGCGATTCCAAAGTTTAACGGGTGGTCGAATTCTATGAAGGTGCCATTCCACGTACCCAAGATTCCTGCTGAAGATTGATACGGTTACGGAATACTTGAATGCATGGAATACTAAGTCCCTATCCTATGCGGGGAAAGTTGAGTTGATAAAGTCGGTTATACAAGGAGTGCAATCCTTTTGGCTAGGCATATTCCCGGTCTCTAAAACTATATTAGATAGAATTGTTAGCCTTTGTAGAATCTTCCTTGGGGGGGGGGGGGGGAGCACGCAAAAGTGGCATGGGAGGATGTATGCCTACCAAAAGAAGAAGGGGGGTTAGGTATTAGAGACACAAAAGTTTGGAATAATGCATTAATATCCCGTATTTTATGGAATATCCATTCCAAACAAGATTCCCTTTGGGTAAGATGGGTCCATGGTGTCTATCTCCACGGAAATTGTGTGTGGACTTTCGTTCCACACAATAGAGACTCCCAATTGATGAAGAGATTGGCCCAAATCCGAGACCTAATTGTGTCCAAATTCTCATCTATACCCGAGACAATCACGCAACTTGGTAAGATGGCCTACAATGGTAAGTTGTGTTCCTCAAAGGTATATGATCTTCTTAGACTTAAAGCTACACCACATGCGTGGATGTCTTTTATATGGAAAACCTATATCCCTCCCAAATTCTCATTTATTATGTGGCTTGCATACCGAAATAGGTTGCCAACGTATGACAACTTGGTATATCTTAATGTTGCTAATATTTGTCCATTTTGTAAGGGTGAACCGGAGACGGTACCACACCTATTCTTTGAGTGTTCATGTACAGGGCAGCTTTGGAGAAACGTTAAGGACTGGCTCGGTATATCAAGGCAAATGACGTCCCTTAGAAGTGCTATAAAGTGGATGCAAAGAGAGTGCAAAGGGGTGCACATTCGAGCAAAGGCAACACGAATAGCGTTTAGCTATACAATATATTGGATATGGCGAACTCGAAATGCAATCCGTTTTGATGGAGCAACTTTAAAATTGGAAGATATGCTTGCAAAAATTAAGTTTATGATGTACAAAGTGCTCTACTCTCTATATCCATACCATATGATTACCTTTTGAACTTGACACATTTTTTATCACGGCCTGATGGCTGCTTGTTTTGCTGCATATGTTTTTGGCTTTAGAAGTTATGCTTAGATAGCATTTGATGTTATAGGGTATCCATACTTGGATATGCCTCTATTTTTGTCCACATGATGTACATAAACTATGGTTACCTTAATATATATTTACATTCCACCAAAAAAAAAGATTCCTGCTGAATATGAGGAAAAGGTATACTTAGCAGCGTTCCTATCATGTTGGCTCTGCACCTTTGTATTGCCCCACGAAGGTCCAAGGGTGATCCGCCCGGAAATTTTTAAAGTTGATTGTATGATGGCTTGTGGAAGGAAAATATGTCTCGCGGTTCCCGTTCTTGCCAGTATTTACCATGTGCTTAATAAGATCTCACAGGCTCCGTCTCCTGATCAAGTTAGAACATGTTTTCCTGTTCACTATGTTTACGGATGATTGGCTTCATACTTTGATATTCATTTCAAGAATGATATCCAATCCACGACCCCATTAATGATCTCCTACTCGGGAGAAGGTGGAACAAGGTCTCTTGAGAAAAGAGGGGCGCGTAGAAGGATTTTTCAGGGCGACGTATCATCCTGGGTATGTTCTACGCATAGAAGGGTCAAAGACTACACATTTTTTGATGGGGAAAATCCTTCTGATGCTGATTTGCCACTTTTCAGAAGCCTTCAGTCTAATTACCTCACATTACGCTATCAAAATTATTGTTATCGCTGAGCCTTACACTCCTCATCGATTTAGTCGACAACTTGGCTATTTTCAAGCTTACGCTCCTGGTTTGCTTGAAAAGCAGGACTGCCGTGTTCCACTTGCGGTTGGATTTAGATTTTGGCAACAGTTTGAGCATAGTTTGTCACAGGCTAAAACGGTATTTCCGACCCCTCCTACTATTCCAACGATTTTTTATTGATTGCAGTATAAAGAATGGTGGGGTCAAGTCCATGGAAGTTATCTGGTGAATCATGCGAACGACTTGATCAGGATTTGCGATCTTACGGCTGGTGATGTGGTCACCCCTTCAGATCTTGTGACTCCAGTCTCCAAGAAGAAAAAAATGTTTGATACTGAAGCTAAGTCTTTGCCTCAGAAAAAGACTAAGCTTGCACTACCTAGAGCTGAAGTTTTGATCAAGGATGCTGAGAAGGAAACGTCTCCCGCCAATGGAAGGTAGAGTAGTGATGAGAGGAACTGGAAACATCTTAGGAAACCTTATGTTGGACCACTGAAGGTCAATTTCATTATTTCATAGTTTTATTTAAAGCTCGTACTCATATTTTCTTCCTTCTTTTGCAGATTCATGCCACCCTTGATGATGCTAGTTCTGTGAATCATGTTTCTTCATCTAGCTCAAGTGAAGGGGAAAGTGCTGATTATGACACCGTTGTTGGATTGATAGCAAAAACTGGCCCAAGTTATTGCAAAGAAGTTTCGACTCACAAAATACCCAAGTCTCCTCATGCGAAACCGGCTGCATCTGTATTCCATGCAGAAGACTACTTCTTTACTTTGTATAAGCAGTTCATGATTAACACTTGGAGTGCCATTCAACAAAAGTTAGGAAGGGCTACAGATGAGAACGTCTCTTCTTTTCGGGAGAGTGTTGAGAATTGTCCATCAACTTGTTGTCAAAAGTTTTCTCATTGTCCATCAAGATATATCGGGGAATGCCAAAGCGGTAGATGATATGAACTCGGATGAAATCAGTGACATTTTCCTTCTTCACCTCTTTCAATGCAACTGCTTCGACCCATTTTGAGAAGTAATCAGTAACGGCTAATATGTATGAATGCCCTCCTGATGAGCTAGGCGTGATTGGTCCAACCACGTCAAGTCCCCAAGCGTCAAATGGCCATGATACCACTGTCGGATGCAAAGGCTCCGGTGTTTGATGGATGAAATTTGCGTGATATTGACATGCCTCACATCTTCTAGCATAGTCCATGCAATCCTTTACCATAGTCGGCCAATAATATCCCATCCTTTTGATATGAAACTGCAGCTTAGGACCAGATTGATGAGCTCTACATACTCCTGAATGTGCTTCTTCCATTGCTTGTAAGACTTCATCTCCACCCAAACATCTAAGGAATACACCCTCGAATGATCATCAATAAAGTGTGTCCTTATAGTAGATGAAACGCGGTGAACGCCTCTTCAAGTCTACTTTCTTGCAGAGATTTTCAGGTAATTTCCCATCAGTGAGATAATCAATGAGCGGCTGCCTCCAATTTTCATTTTCAATATCATAAACCGAGGTGATCGGCATCTCGATTATCTCATCGGTTGCACCATCTTCTCCGATGAAAGGAGGAATCACCCAGTTTTGACATATCCGTACTTGAGCCTCGTCGTCAAGATGTGCCATGTTTGATGCTAACCCTGCCAGTGCATCAGCTTGTTTGTTTTCCTTTCTCATCACGTGTTCAATTGTAACTTCACCAAGCCATCCTATGAGTGCCCTTGCATCTTTGTTGTAAGGATGTAGTTCAGGTTTCCTTACTTCGTAGATTCCAAGCACTTGATTGATTATTAGTTTTGAATCACCATAGATATTAACTCATGTTTGCTTCATGTCTACAACTATTTCATGTCTGAGAATGAGTGCTTGGTATTCAGCGACGTTATTGGAGCATTGTTCCGTAAGCGTGAAAGCATAGGACAGAACTTGACCTTTGGGTGTAACAAAGACCACACCAGCTCCGGCAACTTATCTATGTGCAGCTCCATCAAAATACATCTTGCATGGAGGAAAAACTTCAATTATGAGCACATCTTCATCAGGTAGGTCATCAGAGAGCTCCCATTCAGTGGGGATGGGATGATCGGCTAAGAAATCCGCCAAATCTTGTCCTTTTACATACTTTTGTGAGACATAGACAATCTCAAACTGTTGAAATATCAAGTATCACCTAGCAAGACGATCCGATAGAACCACTTTGGACATCACATACTTCAGCGGATTTGCTCTGGAGACAAGATTTATTGTGTGAGCTTCAAAGTAGTGTTTAAGCTTCTTGATTGCAAATATAATGTCCAAACACAATTTCTCAATGGGCAAGTACTTCAACTCGTGTGGGGTCATCATTCTGCTTTAATAATAAAGGGCATTCTCCTTCCCTTTATCATTTTCTTGAGCTAATAGAGCTCCCACTGACCTTTCTTGAGCAGCAATGTAAAGTATCAAAGGGCGACCAACGACAGATGCATTTAGGACCAATGGTTTCATCAAATAAGCCTTGATATTTTCAAACGCATTCTGACACGTTTGGTCTCATATGAAAGGTACACCCTTTTTCATAATCCGACTAAACGGTTGGCATCTTCCTGATAGATTCGAGATGAATCTTCGTATATAAGCCAGTTTCCCTTGCAAACTCTTCAACTCATGAATGTTTCGAGGCTCCGGCATATTCACAATAGCGTCAATCTTGGCTTGTTCTATCTCAATGCCTTTGTGACGAACAATAAACCATCGGAATTTCCCGGCCGAAACTCTGAAAGCACATTTCAGAGGGTTCATGTCACGCCCCGGACCCACCCGGACACGTCAACAACCCGCCGTACAGTACGAATAGTCAACCGCAGTCCAACTCATCCATACTATACAAGGCGTCTTGAATATCATTCACACATAGTACATCCATAAACAAACATAATGTAAAATATTCATTTAATGCAGCGGAAACATCAATACAAGTGTTCAAGCCACACTTGGCATCATTAGGCATACAAGCCCCCCAATAATTATTTAGAAAATAATATCCATGAGCATTATTATAATTGTTTTGAAACTGAAACGGAGGAAGCACGAACCACGTCTTCTCTCCTAGATCTTCCCGAAGCAACGGGCACTGGTAGCAAGCTCAACTCCTACCTGAAACTGTGAGGTGGCCTCCCCCGTGAAGGGGAGGTCAGTACTTGGAAGCATTTGACAAGTACAATGACAACTATACCAAGTATAATCAATGTTTCAATTTCTAAGACCCTCAATCTAGGGTGGTATTATATTATAGGCCATAACCCTCGGTTACCCCTTTTTAAAAGTATACTTACTTTATATATAGAGTCAAGTAGTCGGCCCGTGGCCCATATTCGTTTTTTAAACGCCCACCCCTATTTCCCCGTGACTATTAGTCACGATTGTTATAACCTTCGGTAAATTATATTACCATCATGGGTCATTCCTCATTTACATCAATTAGCCATCATGGGGCCTCACACAATCTCATTATTATATCGTGCTAGAGCCTCACTCATAGTCATCTACGTTAGGCTAGAGCCTCACTCTTAGCCAATCTACATTTATGCTAGAGCCTCACTCTTAATCATCTACATTAGGCTAGAGCACCGCTCTTAGTCAATCTACATTTGTGCTAGAGCCTCGCTCTTAGTCATCTACATTTGGCTAGATCCTCGCTCTTAGTCATCCACATTTGTGCTAGAGCCTCGCTCTTAGTCATCTACATTTGGCTAGAGCCTCGCTCTTAGTCAATCTACATTTATGCTAGAGCCTCGCTCTTAGTCATCTACATTTGGCTAGAGCCTCGCTCTTAGTCAATCTATCCTTATGCTAGAGCCTCGCTCTTAGTCATCCATATCAGGCTAGAGCCCCGCTCTTAGTCAATCTACATTTGTGCTAGAGCCTCGCTCTTAGTCGAGTTATCCGATTCCTAAGCCAATTCTATGCCTAGAATCAATTCACCTTGAGTAGCCTTTAAGGCCTACTCCTAACATATCTTAGAGCTCATACATTCTAACCCTTAAGTATCTCTTAGGACTACTTAAGGCATCTCTATTCACAATCCTATCTCTTAGGATTAATTCCATCATTTATTTATCTCAATCTCCCGACTAGTATTTCAATACTAGTCAGATAATCTTAGAACAACCAATTTCTTAATTCATAATCAACATTTCATTTCAATTGAGTTTCCAATCCAAATACAATTTAATCTCAATATCAAAAATATCACTTTTATCCATTCATGAATTCTATACATGAAGTAAAAGTATATTTTATCACAATATTTTCATAGTTAATTCCATTATCATGCCATCACTTTCATATCACATAATCATACACAATTTCTTCCGAATTTGTATATCATGTTTCATTTACTCATAAACAATAGTATTTTTATTTAGGCATTATTAATCATT